AACGCCGATTTGACAGTGGCTACAAAAACGACGTTTAATAAAATGGCTTCAGCGTCGTCATTTTATTAAAAAAATTAATGAAAAAATATTTTTTACTTCTAAAGACATGTATTATTAAAGCCTTAAAACGAATTTTGTATTACTTTTATTGTTTTCCTAAAAAAAATTCCCAAAGTTACCTATGATTTTTAGGCGGTCAAGGTGGTGTAACCCCTTAAATAGTTTATTTGCATGTACAGCATAAATCTTGCAGCAGATTGTTGAATTATACTGCAATTAATTGCACGCAGATTTTGCTCTGCAGAAAATAGCGGAAAATGCTACTGCAGGATGGATATTTACTAGCGCCTCGAGAAGCGCGCCGCGCGTGTAAGTCCCGCCGCCGCTATAGGTGATGTTGCTGAACTGTTTGTTTAGCAAGTAACATTTGTGATCGTTGGGCCCGTGCCTGGAGATCTGATCGACGTTGCGGTACACGCTGCCCCGACCGCCAAAGGTGACCAGGGCGATCCGCGCGGCCGTCGTGTCCACCGTGAAATCCGACAGGAGCTTCGTCACGAAGTTCAGCTCGCTGCGGAAGTTCTCCGCGCCGACCGAGCCGGACGCGTCCACCAGGAACACCAGTTCCACCTGATATCGTCGAATTTGAATTAAAAATCGTAAGATCCCTGATTAGGCCCGGTTTCACAATTCGCGGTTAACTCGATTGAACCGAAGTTCAATTTTTTTCTTTATCTTTTTCTAATCTAAAAATTAGAATCTAAGAATTATAGAAACAGTAAGTTAAACCAAGATTAAAGTTAATCTTACATTTGTGAAACCGGGCCTTAGAGTCTTCCTAATTAAGCCTCGCGTTAAGCTTCGTTGAGAACAAACAAAAGGAGGGAAAAGGTACATAAAATATGTCCTATCTTCGTCTACCTGATCGGTTCTATTTCGCAATTGATCTATGTGCATCTTCAGGAGGCGGGACAGGATGTCCGTTTTGCTTTTTAGCATCCTGTCGGCGCTGTCCAGGTGCTCATACCAATAACGCTGATCCTCGTTCGTCTCCTGGCTGACATTCAAGAAGGTCGAGGAGACGCTGTCATTCATACCGATCTCTAAGCCACGATCGGATTCCCCGTCGTCGTCGTCGACGCGCTCGACGGCGATATTCGAAAATAGAGAAAGCGCTCCGATTAGCAGCGGTAGAACTCTTGAAAATCCCATTGTTATGCTTTGCAAAACACCAATGACGTTAAACGATATCCCACATTTGGAAGACAAGCGTTAGAACTTTCGCTTTATTATATTCACGGTCTATTTACAGATCGTGTTCAGAGGCGAGTGGGCCACGAGCGAACGCATCTTCCTCCCGTTCTTTAGGTAACCGAATCAAGAGAAGAAGAGAAAGAGGCTTGCACGCGCATCTAACGAGAGATTCTATCGGTCGCTCCGACGTTCGGACGTCGCGTTCGCGTTCGCGTTCGCATCGTCGCAGCCGCGGAGGAAATCGAAAAGGATCGCGTCGCGGGGACTGCAGTCGGTGCTCCCTGGTTCTCTCCGGCGTATTCAAGATCGTGTAAGCACGACGGACGGAGACGCTCCGCGGGTCGGTCGGGCTTGGAGACGAGGACGTGACTGAGAGCGACGGAATCGCCGGCTGTAAAAGAGCATATAACGCACGACGCGAAGACAAGGGGGCTTCTGTTCCATCGAGTTCTTTGACGCGCGCGCGTGTCTGTGAGCGATCCACACGACTGCCCTCTCGACCCGTCGGACCACACGATCGCAATCCGATTGTATATTCACCAGCGAATAGATCCAGACATCAATTCCTATTAACGTTAATTCGCGCTGATCGTCAGACGGCCGCGTCGCGATTCGAAATCGCTCCGCGTTCTTTCTGCGCATTCTCGAGCGGCACGTGCCGTCCGATATTTATTCGCGCGCGCTCGTTAATTCTCTTTAATCGACGTAAAAAAAATTATATATATGCATATATAAGGATTTTTGTGCCGCGTTTGTCTCGTGTGTGGAAGGGGTGCTTCACGGCACGCGGCGGCAAAAAAAAAAGACGCTGTAGTTTCCGCGTGACCCGTATGCGTATCGCGTCGACGCGATTCCGGGTCAATTCCAGGTCAATCTCTCAGTTCGTCGCGCGCGCCGATGTGTATGTACACATGCGATGCACACACGTGCGTGCAGCGCGTTACATACGTAAATGCATGTAATCTGTGCGTCTTCCCGTTGAAACCACGCGCGTTACTATCGCGCCTCGTTGGACCACGCGATACGAAAATATTTGGAAGTATTCCTTCTTTATCGCATTCGGATGAATCACTTTCGGTTCGGTCGCGGCCAGGCCGAACCCCGCATTAACGTATCCCCGTCACTCCGGGTCTCCGTCCCGAGGAGTCGAACGATGGTCCGTTAAAGTCATCATTTTATTGTGTTGTGCCATGTTAGCCGCGAAGGTCGCATTCCCGGTGGTCGTGTTCTTCCTGGCGAGTCTCGCGTCGGAGGCGAGGTACCATTCCCGTCCCTCGCGCCTACTCGGATCGAGCGACGAAGATCGGTCGTCGTCCCACGAGGCGAGGGAGCACCTGCAGGAGGAACAGGATTGGCACTACGAGCTGTGTCATTTCGTCAACGCGTGGAAGAAGCATCTCGGCCATGTGAGCGTGCTGGCCTTCCTGGACCCGAGCTGGCAGTACAGCTTCCGACAGGCGGTCATGTAAGTTGCAGAGATCGACGTGAGAAAAGACGCGCGAGAAACGCTTATTGTGCGACGCATCGAAGAAAATCCGTGCTTTTTTGCCTTCTTTCTTTTTACCTTTATTTTAATTTTTTTTTTATTGATCGAACCACAGGCTGGAGCTGCTGAGCACGCGTTTGCGAAAGTCCGGTTTCCCGGACATACGGTTCTTCGTGATAAGCCCGTTCTCCGATTCGACAGAAGAGAACAAGTCGAGGAGTGAGGACGATCTCGAGATCGAGACATGGCGGGAGATCGAAGCGAAATACGAAATGGAGAGCTTCGTGGACGAGGATTTTCTCAAAGGCAACGGATCGGAGATCATTTTCCTGCAGGACGATCCGCAGTCCCGTATATGGGAGAGATTCCACGCGTCGAGGGAGCAAGCAATTGTCATCGATCGGTGAGAGAGAGAGAGAAAAGGCGGTCCGGAAGCCGATGATTCAATTGATATCAATTAAATTTATATTTGCCGAGCACGCGCGGCGTGATTGATTTGTTTTGTACCGTCACTTCCTCGAATTTATTCGCGGAACGATCGAAGTAAGCGCGTTTCTTGTAGAGAATTTAATAACGTTAGAGATATCAAAGTGAATATATAGATAGACGGATTCTTCAGTTGATTTATAAATGAACACCGTTATCTTAATTAACGCAAAAAATCTGTTGATTATGATTTTAGATGCGGAAAATTGACGTACCACGTGATAGTGCCGTGGAGTATCCTGTTCTTTCCTTACGTGAAAGCGGCTATACTGTCCACGTACAAGGAGGACCCGTGCGGCGGATGCGATGTGAGCGCATTTCTTTAAATACGACACGCTTATCTCTCGCGCAGCGCGGCCCTGATGTCGAAATAATATTACAGTAACGTGGATTATCGTTTCGGAAATAATTTTTAGCCCGCCATCTATCGAGCGCGGAATCACGAGGACCAAGTCGTGAAATTAACAAAAGGCTCCGAGGAAGAAACGTCGAGTCCGACGCATCGCGAGACCGACACTAAACCTGAAGTAATGTTAACTACCGAGAGTCTGGAGAACGCCACTATATACCACGATCAAGCGTCGTTGGAAGAACAGCGCGAGGCGAGCACCGCGTTCTCCATCCCCCTCGAGGAAATCACGAACGATACTGATCGTCCAGATCTCTCGACGGAATCGCCAACGGAGTCCACGACTTATGATCGGTATGATAATGACGCGACCGAGTTCCAATTCGAGGATACAGTAGGCACACAAGATCAAGAAGACCTGGACTTGGAAAACTCGGAGAACGGTGGTACCATTCCCAGTAAAATTGCTACGACCTTCGAACCAGACGTGCTTTCCTCGGAGAAAAAGGAATCTGATTCACCGGCGAACAACAATTCGCTTATCCTCGCGAATCACGGGGACACGACGGATCCTATTTTATTGCGTGATGACGATCTGATGGTCGGTGTAACCGAAAGCGATTCTACGTCCGCGAACGAAGAAACGATCACGATGTCGAGTTTCAGGGACGAGATTCGAGGTAAACGCGGATGACGAATAGAACGATTTCAGTCGTTTGGGCGATAATGATAATAATCTGGTGTTAATACCGTTTTAATTATTCTAACAATTTTACGAATCGTCATCCCGCAGATAATACGACACCGGAGAACGCCGAGCATTTCGGGGAGGACGCGTTTTTACCGTTACGCATAATCATGTACGCGCCGCACGTGCATAAAAACGGCAAAAAGACGAAGAAGCATACGCACTTGATTCTGAAGACCGGCGACCCCGATTATCACGGGCATGCCGACTCGAGAGTGGACATCGCGTCTCCGGTATTGCTCCACACCTGTCGCATTTCCTGTTAATTTAAGCTCCGTTATATCTTAATTTCTTGCGTTTTATTCGGGCTATTTTTCTATTGAGGTATTCGGTCGTCAACCGATAAGAATTCATTCTTTTTTATATTTATCTTAAATTTTTGATTGAGATTAAGAATTTTTCTCTCGTGAATTTCAAGGCCATCGAGTCTTCCGCAGCAAGTTCCGAAGAATACGATTGGGGAACGACGGAAGCAGACGCGGATGAAGGGAACACTAGGCAGACGTATACGTTCGGTGGAAACGAAAGCCCGGGATTGTACGGCGAAGTAGCGGACTATTGGAAGAGCTACGAAGATGACATCGCTGACAGAAACGAAACGTTTAACGATACTTACGATAACTCGACGGTAATCTCTGCAGCGCGCATTCAGCGTATAACAATTAAAACATTATAATTTTATAATTTTAATACTATAAACTATTATTATAGTAATCATTGTCGTGCATTTTTAATAGCATAATTTAACACTTAATTCCGATATTTTAAAACAAATTTAATTTTTAGACTAACTATAATGAGCAGCATCGTTCTAACGTCAACGATCACGCGACGAGTCTCTCGGAGCAGGAAGAAAGCTACTCGAATACGAGTATCACAGAAGATCCGAGTGTTGGAAATTCCACTGATCTGCATAATATCGTTGGTTCAAACACGATTGAGTCTTCCAGGCCAATTAATGCTAATAATCAGGTCAGTAGGGAAGAAGAGATGCGATACAAATTAATGGAACATTATATTTTATCTTGGATCGATTATAGATTAAATAAATAAACCATGTTTTTTATTATCATTTCCCTATTCAGTACCATCAGAATCCGAAGAAATTTCTGCCTGATTACAATTTGCTGAATATTTTAATTAATATTGAGCAGATAAAGATATTTTAGAGTCAGGATATGAGACCTAAAAGAAAATCGAGATTTGACATTCACTCGAGTATTTGTAATATTTATGAAACTTAAACGCTTGGATTCATTCGATCAGATCGAATAAATAAACCTCAAGGTTTCTTTAAAAAAATATTATTTTATTAATAAAAACATTGATTTTTTTCTGTTATTTCTACACACAATTCATATAACGTCAAAAGTTTTCAAATATATATTGTATACATATATACATTTATTATTAACGCAATTTCGTTAACATAGTACATTCGGAAGATTATTTTTAAACATCATAACATCTTGATCTTAACATCTGACTCTTATACGTATACATCACGAAGTATACGCATAAATGTAAAACACATAAAATAATGAATATTTATATAAATGTATAAAAAAATAATCACGTACGTATCGCTATATTTTATAATTCTTAATTAAAATATATGATTTATGGAAAAAGTTTAATTTAATTTAATTTAATTCGTCAGATTATTTTACGTCATGTAACAAGTGAATGATTATTTATAGGAGCTATCAGTTTCTTTTCATTCATTATATTCATTTGGCTCATTTAAGTCATCAGAATCTAGACTGGTGCTACTACTACTGCTGCTGCTGCTGCTGCTTGACGTATCGGAGTCCGTATCACTGCTATCCGTTGAACTCGAACTGCTCGATAATCTACATTTATATACAATGATTAAAAAAAAAGTATGAAATGCCTTGAAATAATTAGTGTTATGAAAAATGCTTCAATCATGCATATTATTAAAACTATCATTCCCAGGATTCTTATTATCCAGATATCTGAGAACTCGGATATTCAGGTTCAAATACTATTTGGATCGAAAAATTCTTCGGCCAATTGTCACCAATGAAAACTTTCGTAAACTTTTAGTTATTTAACCTTTCGACTCCCAAACGAAGCGATCCGTTTGTCCCTCTTGGGAACTTATATCACAAACTTATTTTTTTTAATAATAATCTAAGGTGACTCATTTCCAAATTCTGGCATCACTGCTTCAACCGCCGGAAAAGGAAGGAATTTGTTTTTAACAGAAAATTATAATCTTATACACCTTGGCCGTCAACATATAAAAATAAGTGCTCAATAAGAATTATGACAATCGTGTTTACAGCTCAAAATAAATAAAAAAATAGGACATTGTATTATATTTATACAATAATAATTTATTTACTATATTTTAATATAATTTTAAATATAAAATATGAAGTTGAAAGGTTAAGTAACAAATCTATTGCAAATTTGAATTATCAGACTTTTGATATAATGAAAATTTGTTTCGAAAAATCCAAACAGCAATTACACAGAGTATTATATACAGTAGTTATTTTATACAACATGTAATAAAAGAAGTTAGATATTATGTTACATTAATCACCGAGTAAAATATAAAGAGAATATTAAAAAAATAATAATAATAAATAATACAAATGGCCATTAAATATAGATGGCGTTAAACAGCGATTGTTAACAATCAAGCCAGATATATGAAAATACTTACAAATACTTAAAAAATTTGTGGTTAACATGGCATACATTCTTTGGCCTTCAAAACAAAATTATACAGAATATGTAGAATATTACCGCAATAAGAAAGTAACAGAGCAGTAATTTTCAACTCACGTCTCCTGTGTGCTATCAGACTGATTCGCGGACATTGCTTCGAGCTTCTTGGCCATGTTATGAATACTATTTTCTATGATGAGATCCTCCTCTTGAATAGTACGAGCTGCCACTTCCAGTTCCTCTAAATCGAATCCCATACTCGCTTTGGTTGGATGAATCTATATAAAATAAGAATTTAGATGGGCAGGTGAGGCGTGCCAGATACGAATAGTGAGAGAACTTTCAAGAGTACTCACGTCATTTAATGCAGAACAAAGCGATTCTATTACGCACTCGGGTAACGTTTGCAGCCAAATTAAAAAGTCCTTTATGTACAGTTGGTTCAGTATGTACCTTGGTTCGTGCGAAGTATTGAAAAGACTGTGTATTTCACAGAAGCGTTTAATAATGTATTTCTTTCCTGTACAATGAAAATATTCAAAATAAATAAAATTGTAAGTGTAGACATTTTGACATCCCAATTTATACTGACCTAACGACAGAACACCTTTAACGTCTTCGAATACTTTGACAGAAATTTCCCAGTGTCTGTAAAGTGGGTAGCAAAGCGCTCTTCGAATACACGCTCTTATAACTTCTTCTAGAGAAGTAAAACTCTGAAAATATGTAATAGAAATTAATTCGTATGCACTCTTTTTTTTTATGGGAAAAGTTTGCTGATCGATAAACTTACCTGGAACCAACATAACGTAGAACTTAATTTATTGATGTTCCAAGCGCTTTCTACATTATTTTCCCCAAACGTTGTTCGATAATTGAAACAACTGGCGTACAAGATGTCGATTAGATTAAAACATAATTGCTTTTGGTCTTCATTATTTAATAAATATTCTTTGTTTGGAAGTTCCTTTAGCAGATCGACCTCGGCTTCGCTGAACGCGATTTGATCTTTCTGCAGGGTCTCCCATTCCGCCTCAAATTCTAAGGGTGGCCCAGTGAATCGTAGCTCCATTAAATCTGCTACGTAATGTTCGTCGGAGAAATCTTTTGATTCACGTTGTTCTCGCAAAGCTTTTCTTTCTGGCTCAGGAGTTACGTCAGGATTGGGAAGATCTATTATTTCCTTGAGCCACGCTGCCTAAATTGGGGAACCAACACACATTACTGACAGTATAATTAATTTCATATTGTGTATAATTAGAGCGGAGCATTAAAACAAAGTATGGAAGATTTATGCACTTATAATAAAATTTAATGACGTCAGAATAGATTATAAAAACGTACCTCAAAGGCCAATAAAGCTCCCGATACTCTATTAGCAAAACCATACTTTGGGCCATTCAAAAGCTTTGGCATGTTTTCACCAGAATCATCCTTGGGTAAGTTATTTGCAAAATCACCTATGTCATTCGTTTCGTTTATATCTGCCTTAGTCACGGATGGATTACCTATAACATTGGGAGGAGACATGGTGTGTGCCGGTATTGCTTACGCGATGTAATTGTATATCACACTTTCACATTTCGTATCCTTGTGTAACTTACCAATCACTTCAATGTTAGGTATGACAAGTACGCTTTTGTTTTTCGGCGGCGCCATAAGGCTTGTTATCATCTCCAAGTTCTCAAAGTGCTCCCCTTTGTTCACCTTGGAGAAACGAAAGGTAAAGTCACCTTTGTCGCAGTCGTAGGAACCGGAGGACAAATCGTTCTCCTCTATCTTGCCCGGCAGCTGCAGTCTGGAAAAATTGTTCGTCAAGCAATTCAGAGAATATTCGTCGAGGAACCGCCAGACGAATTTACCAAAAAAAAAAAGAAAAAAAAATATTCACCTGAGAAAATACGGAGTGGAGGAGAACAGAAAGTCCGTCCCGTCGACGGACACCTCCGCGTCCTTTATATTCGCGTACGGAGCGTGGATGATCATCGTCACCTCCTCGTCGTTCTGCGTGAGCTCGAAGCGTGGAGTCAACATCTCGTCAGGTCTGACAGGTTCCCCCGGAGTGTTGCGAAATTACTTATATACGGATACCTGCAGTGTCTTGCACAACGTGCGAAGATAAATATAACCGGACAAGCGGACGGCTGTGAAACGGCGTTCGACAGGAAGAGCGAGAGGACTTAAAAGCGAGGGATTAACTTTGTTTCAACGTGCGACGGATTCCCACGTGTGGCGGACATTTAATTCGCTCGATTTCGATCGTCCCGAACCACGCATACCCACACTACCCGAGGTCAAGAGCAATACTTGAGTATGCTTGAGTACTGACAACTCGCGACGCGCGACTCCATAGATAACTAGAAACACAACACAGGAAGTGACGGAATCAAGACGGCCTGCGGAAGTGACGAAACTCAAGTCGCTTGAAGGGTCGAACAGGGATAGGATAGGACAGAGTCGGGTTAGGTTGCCGCTGGTCGCCGACTCGCCGCGCCGTTTGGACGAGACTCGAGAGCGACGTTGCTGCGTCGAAGTTGTTCCGAGTTCTTCCCAGTTATCCCCTCGTCTCCGTGTGTACGTGAAAATGCCGGCAGTCTCGCCTTTGTACAAGTGGGCCCTCGGACTCGGCGCGGTGGGCGGCTCGATAATCTATTACTACAGCACGCACGGCAACGTGCACGAGCCGTTGCGCGTCCACAACTCGTGGACGACGAATTACACGCCTTCGGTGAAGTGGGACCACAACTGGGACAGGTGAATCCGCGTTGTGTCTGTTTGTCTCTCCCCGTCACGCATGAGAGACGTTGGGAGCGGAAAGTAAACTCGGTCGACTCGATCTACAAAAAAATTGTTGGAACGAAATTTCTTGTTATACAATTCGTTCTCGCTGATTTAATGTTTTTTTTTTTTTGCCATATATGAAATATAATATTAATAATTCCATCTATAAATAAAATTACATTTAATCACAGTAATTGTTAACGAAATGATACAGATATTACTTGATAAGCTAATCGCTGATTAATCAAAGTTTGCTCTAAGTCGTTGTTTCAGAAGTGAAAAAAAAAAGAATGGTAGTTATGTTGCGACGTTTGCGTTTACAGACGGGATCCAAAGAGCTTGGTGAAGCCGTTAAAGGTGAAGGATGAGAACGATGAGAACAAATACAATGAAAAGTTCGAGGCGATGAAAGCAAAGGCTGTGCGACACGTACTCTTGATTCGCCATGGGCAGTATCACACGGATGGAAAGACAGACGCTGAGAGAGTGCTGACTGAACTTGGTACGATGGCTGGCATACTTTCTGTACAATCCAGCATTGAAGAGTAGCATACGGTTGTCCTAATATATGTTGCGCCATGATTTCTCGATCTTTATTTTCGATATGTATCACATCTCGAGAGCTTTCTCTCCGCATAATCTCTGAAGCACGTGACGTTTCCTTTCCTAATATTTAGCGCCGCTTATTTAATGAATCACATTTATTTCATTACTGATGGTGTTTTGTATTTGCATATAGGTCTCGGGTTAAAGTTCCTGGAGGTTCACAATAATTTGCCACCGTAACACCGGCAAAACCACACAATTTCCAAAGAGAATGTTATGCGAATTCTTCTACTATAGCACTCCCTAGGTGTTGCTACTCTAGGATAATACGCTTTCTATCTACTTACATCTTCCATGACGTTGCATTGGAAGATGGCTAATAAGTTGTCTTGCGACAAGTATGTAATAATTCGTGATACCCAGTTCTCTCTATGTTCTCTCATCGCACATGTCCAATATAATTAACATGTTACGCTCTACTAAAACTAGCGATGTTTCCGAAAGTGTGACATCGATATTCTTTCATTGCTTGCTATTATTTCTCTGAACAGGCTTGTGACGCAAATTATTGTGTGCAACTAGGCTTTTTATTTAATTTTTTTTCCTTCACTGTCCCCTAATTTCATGCTTATTTCATGTAAATATTTAAGACGTGACACGCGCAAACATTACTTATAAAACTATGCCTATTTTGTTGCTATAAAGGCAGAAAGCAGGCTGAAGTAACGGGAAAGAGGCTAGCGGAAATAAACTTGCCGTACTCGCTCGTAGTGAGATCTACGATGACACGCGCTCAGGAGACTTCCAAAATTATAGAAAAGACTCTTGCAAACGTGCCAGTTGAGGATGACAGCTTGTTAATCGAAGGTGCGCCTATACCTCCGGAACCGCCCATTGGTCACTGGAAGTCTGAGAAACATGTGAGCGGAATATAACCGATCGCGTTTTTACGTTATCGAATATATTGAAAAAAATTTTAAATCGGAATTCTCGCAACGCATAATAATTCAGCCTATTTATTTTCCAGTTCTTCCAAGATGGGCCTAGAATAGAGGCAGCATTTAGAAAGTATTTTCATCGTGCGGAACCTAGTCAGGATCGTGATTCTTATACCGTTCTTGTATGCCACGGGAACGTCATCAGATACTTTGTTTGTCGGTAAGATTTTCTCTTCTGCAGTGTTAAATTTAATGATGTTCTCTCTGTCGCATGTATATACATGTCTTTCGATTTTCCTTTAAGGGCGTTACAGTTTCCACCAGAAGCATGGCTACGGATATGCTTGAAACATGCAAGCATCACCTGGCTCTGTATTCTTCCCAGTGGTAGAGTTACCCTCTTTTGTCTAGGAGATACAGGGCACATGCTACCACAGGATATAACATCTAGCTAAAAATGCACGGCTTGTATACGCGACGATATACGTATATAAATGATATCTCATTGATAAGCATATGTACAAATCGACGTACTCATATCATCGCAGAGATAATGTTTTTCACATGGCTTTTCACATGGCTTTCACGTTGGATGGAATTGTGTGCAATTGTACAGATGTGCGGAAGAGAGGCTGAATTTTTCTAAAAATATTTTTAATAAATATGCTGAGAAATGGATACACATCGACTAAATAGAATTTTAGAGAAAGTTATTCCTGAATAATGCTTGTGTAACTTTTTTAATAAAAGAAATACTTCATGCATCTGAATATATATTATATATACATGTATATTTTTTTCTTCTTTTAGCTCAGCTAGAATATCTATTTAAATTACAAAAATCGTCATTTGAGCATTTGGATTGTATGTATGCGTGTTTCTAAATATACTTGCAATTTTCTAATATTATAAAATAATTTTCTCCTTAATTTTCATTATACACATTTTTACAGTTTGAGATCACATCTTTTTTTTGTATAATTTTTACGATTGGAGTAAGATCACATTATGGTCGATACAAAAGTAAAATGGCTATTGGTATTATACAAAAAATTATGTAACCATGTATCTATTGGCGTTATCCTACAATTATAAGTTTTGTTTCACGTATGCCTGTAATTACATTCGGATCGAATGCTCTGCGCAGAATGGCCGAGCTGTAAGGGATTATGCAGCGCTTTCCCTACCGGGATGCGTTCAAAAATTCACGGTATATCATTTTATCTTTGTTATTCACCGAATGTTAAATAAGAATAAAATGATATCTAGATGCACCTGGGCGAAATTTCTGAACGCAGCCCCGAGCGGCCCGAGCACCGTCTTGTTCGCGTGAGATTGGTCGATAGTATTAATGGCGCTACGGCGCAAGCGTATCGAGACTCGTACTGGGCGCCCGATTGGTTGAGGAGGTGAGGGCGCAGGCCGACCGCCAACGTTGCCGGGTAATCCGAGTGTTCCGAATGTACCGGCCAAGGAGATCCAAAGGGTATGAAAAAGAAGAGTATATCAGCCGGGATTGCCGGGAGAGATCGTCATTGTTCAATCGTTGATTGTTGTAAGGACTAGAAGTCGTGGTGACGTGGTCCGTGGATTTGTGCGCGAGCCACGGACGATTGAGGTGGACGTCTGTGGCTGAGTGATTCAGTAATCTAGAATTCTAGAATCTTCGCGACGTTTTAGTTCTTAATTTCCGCTTTAATATTTCATCAAGTGACTTAGTAATTCATCACACCGTTTAAGAAATAGAGAACGTGCGGGGACTCAGCAATCTCAATATTCCCGATTTTCCGCATCAGTTACATCAACACGCGACATAAGTATTGCATCATCCGACTTTGAGAATCTTAGCGTATAAAACTTCGCCGAAGGGTAGGCCCATAAGAAAAAAAAAGAAGAGAAGTCATGTGAGACGAGCGACTGTAAAGCACATGGCACAGAAAAACGTAAAGCAGTAAGCAAATCTACCAATCACAGTAGAAAACATAATTAAGCAATAATCTTACATTCTCTACTGTGATTGCCCATTCACTTATTACTGCTTATGTCTTATTGCTTTACGTTTTTTTTATGTGCTATGAACTTAATAAAGTGAGACAAAGTACGAGTATCTTCTCTTTGAATGCCCATCCTGACTTATAGTTTTTGCCAAGGTCTTCCTTGGTTCTTTATACATAGAATTTCCCGAAATATTCCTCGGTTGCCACTCTGGCCTTACCTTACGTTATTTTATTTTCCTGACTGTTGCATACCGTGAGACGGTTTCACCAAATATTCAAAATCTAGAATTCCCGTACGTCTTACATAACGAGATAATCAAAGTCAGTTTGCTCAAAGTCATTGTCTCAGAAGTGAAAAAAAAAGTGATAGTTATGTTGCGACGTTTGCGTTTACAGACGAGATCCAAAGAGCTTGGCGAAGCCGAAGATAAAGGACGAGAACGATATGAGTTCAAATAAGTACAATGAAAAGTTCGAAGGGAAAGCAAAGGCTATGCGATACATAGCCTTGATTCGCCACGGACAATATCACAAGAATGGAAGGATAGACGAGAGAGTGCTGACTAAACTTGGTATGATGCCTGGTATACTTTCTGTACGATCCATTAAAGAGTACCATACGGTTGTCCAAATCGTCATATCATGATTTCTTGATCTTTATTTTCGATATGTATCACATCTCAAGAGCTTTTTCCCTGAATAATCTCTGAAGCATGTAAAATTTCCTTTTCTAATATTTGGCGCCGCTTATTTAATAGATCACATTTATCTTGTTATTGATGGAGTTTTGTATTTGCATCTCGGATTAAAGTTCCTGGAGGTTCACAATAATTTGCCACCGTAGCCGGCAAAAAAAATCACACAATTTCCAAAAAGAATGTTATACGAATTCTTCTAGTATAGCATTCCCTGGGTATTGCTGCTCTAGGATAATACGCTTTCTGTCTACTTACATGACTCGCATTCGAAGATGGCTAATAAGTTATCTTGCGACAAGTATGTAATAAAATTCGTGATACCCAATATGTTCTCTCATCGGACATGTCCGATATAATTAACATGTTACGCTTTATTAAAACTAGCGATGTTTCGAAAGTGTGACATCGATATTCATTGCTTGCTATTATTTTTCTGAACGAGCTTATGATGCAAATTATTGTGTGCAACTAGGCTTTTTATTTAATTTTTTTTCCTTCACAGTCCTCTAATTTCATGCTTATTTCATGCAAATATTTACGATGTGATAAGCGCAAACATTTCTTATAAAACTATACCTATTTTGTTCCTATAAAGGCAGAAAGCAGGCTGAAGCAACGGGGAAGAGGCTAGCGGAATTAAACTTGCCGTACTCGCTCGTAGTGAGGTCTACAATGACACGCGCTCAGGAGACTTCCAAAATTATAGAAAAGTATCTTGCAAATGTGCCAGTTGAAAATGATAGATTGTTAATCGAAGGTTCGTTTAGCCCTCCGGAGCAGATGCCCTTTGTTTGCTGGAAGCTTGAGAAACATGTGAGCAGAATATAACTGATCGCGTTTTTGCGTTATCGAATATATTGGAAAAATTTTAAAATTGGAATTCTCATATCGTACCATAATCCAATCTACTTATATTCCAGTTCTCGCAATATAGGCCCAAAATAGAGGCAGCATTTAGAAAATATTTCCATCGTGCGGAACCTAGTCAGAATCGTGATTCTTATACCGTTCTTGTATGCCACAGGAACGTCATTAGATACTTTGTTTGTCGGTAAGATTTTCTCTTTTGCAGTGTTAAATTTAATGATGTTCTCTCTGTCGCATTTATCTCTCTCTCTCTCTCTCTCTCTCTCTCTCTCTCTCTCTAT